ATAATAAACAAATAAATCTTTAAAAAAAACAAAACAAACAAAAGGAAACAAAAACAATAAAAAAGCTATAAGCCAGGTGAAGTGGTACACACCTTTAATCCATTTGGGAGGCAGAGGCCGACGAGGCCAGACTGGTCTATATAGTGAGTTGCAGGACAACAAGAACTACACAGTAAGACCCTGTCTCAAAACAAATCGAAACCAAATGAAAAACCAACCAAACAACAACAACAAATCAAAAGCTGTAAATCATTATAGAAATAATTGTGGGGGGCCGGGCGGTGGTGGCGCACGCCTTTAATCCCAGCACTGGGGAGGCAGAGGAAGGCGGATCTCTGTGAGTTCGAGTCCAGCCTGTCTACAAAGGGAGTTCCAGGACAGGCTCCAAAGCTACAGAGAAACCCTGTCTCTCGAAAAACCAAAAGAAAAAAAGAAAAAGAAGAAATAATTGTGGGGGCTAGAGATCTGGCTCAGCAGTTGAGAGCACTGACTGCTCTTCCAGGGGGCCTGGGTTCAATTCCCAGCACCCACACAGCAGCTCGCCACTGCCTGTGACTCTAGCTCCAGAAAAGTCTTCTGACACCTTCACACAGTACACATCAAATAAAAGTAAGTTGGGGATTTAGCTCAGTGGTAGAGTGATTTCCTAGCAAGCACAAGGCCCTGGGTTCAGTCCTTAGCTCTGAAGAAGAAGAAAAAAAAATCTTAGCTCTTCGCTAGGCTGTCTCGAAAAACCAAAGGAAACAAACAACAAATAATTCTAAGAAAGGAAAAAGGAAAATTGTTGTGTCTATGGTCAAACAATACTAGTAGATGACTTATAGGAAGAACAGATGCAGCTGGGAACACTCTAAAGACTCGGGCATAAGAGATCTTAAAAATAGCTTTTCCTAAGCATAGTGGTCCACATTATTAATCCCACCACTTAGGAGGCTGAGGTAGGAGGATCAAGAAAGTTCAAGGTCAGTGTGATCTATACAGTAAGGCCTGGTCTTGAAACTAAAAACAACAATAGGTTATCAGGCAGACTCCCTAGTTTTCAGCCAGGTGCAAACAGAAATTTTCCAGCTGGGAGATGCACGTGTAATCTCTAGTAACCAGAGTGCCCAGGTTTGGCACTATTTAGCATGGCATTTTAACTATGGTCAAGTCCTATGATCAAGTCACTTAAAGTGAGCCTTCAGAATGGAGATGCGCTGGGTGGTGGTGGCGCACGGCTTTAATCCCAGCAGAGGCAGAGGCAGGTGGATCTCTGTGAATTTGAGACCAGCCTGGTCTACAAGAGCTAGTTCCAGGACAGGCTCCAAAACCACAAAACCACAGAGAAACCCTGTCTCGAAAAACCAAAAAAAAAAAACAGAATGGAGATGCAGTTTATGAGTGAGCACGGACACACACAGTGTAAAGACTACAAGACTACGGTTGTGATTTGAACTAAGGGCATGTTCTGACCTTGGGGTCATCACCTGCACACTGTGTAGTGGTCCTAACAGGCTACAGAACCTCTGAGTATACAATGCAACACATTCCACGCTGTATTGACCCCTTCCAGCCCTACTATTGCTTGAGAAAAGCGATGTCTAGAAACCACAGTAGGCCAGGCTCCAGGGCACATTTCTTGGAGCAGTCACGATAAGCAGGGACAGTACTGTTTCAGGAAGGTGTCAGATTGGCACTAGACAAGGTCGTTAGTTTTACCTGATTTCAAACTACCCTCGGCGGCACGAGTGGACAGGTGACAGGAACCTCTAGCTGGTCTCATCTCGGATGGCACCGTGCCGTCAGCCCTTCTGCTGTTTGACTTTTGCGCGTCACATGTTCTTCTCTCGTCAGAGTATTTTTTCTGCAGAAGAGATTTTAAGAAAATAGTATGAAATAAAAAACCTACTACCACACTGAGAAAGAAACTTTAGTCCAGCAAACCAGTAAGCGCTCACATTTTAAGCATTTAAGAAAAGAAAAGATCAAACCATTGGTAAAAAAGGCTGCTTATCACAAAAAGGTAAGCAACACTTAAATGTCACTCAACACACTAATTTCTTACATTTTAAACACTCAAAGGATCAGGGTCAGGACACTACAAAGCACAGTATTTCCTCACCTTCAATACACCTTTTGCGTCCTGAGGAGGGCACATGTGCTCATTTCGGGGCTTTGCTGTCCGAAAGCCCGGGTGACACTGCGCTTGGCTGTAATCACACTGCAGGGCTGGCACTGAGCAAGCACTCTGCGCAGACTCAAGGGCATAAGTGGAACGGGCAAACGGATGCAGGGAGAGCTCAGAAGATACGTACTGCGCTGGAAATGCAGGGGTTCTAAAGGCCATGTCTTCAGGATAAACTTTTTGTCTAAAAAGTGTAAATTTCAGTTGCAGATTTCATAACACAAACCAAGGACATTAATTTTTTTGTAAGACAATAGTTTAAACCTTTTATTTTTTTAGGGTCATTTACTCTAGCACTGGAAAGTCCCCTACCAACAACGGAATGTGAGCTAGAGAGATGGCTCAGTCAGTAAAATGCCTGCAGCAGAAGCCAATGACCTGAGCTTGGGCTTCAGCGCCTGGGAAAGCAGTGTGTTTGGAACTCCAGCCCCGAGTGGGGAAGAGCAGACCCTTGGGCTCACGGGCCAGCTGACTGACGAGCTCAGTGAGGCTCTTTCTCAAAAAAATGGAAGAAGAGAACAACCAGGGATCAACATCAACTGCGGGCTTCCACATGCATGTGCACACATGTGCACATTCACTCACATGCACAACACATGTGCATGTACATACATACAATCAAACAGACCCTTTTTTTCTCCCTACAAAGGCTGTTGCAGACCTTCTGTTTAAAACTAACGAACTAGGCAGCTGGGCAATAGAGCTCAATGGCACACAGCTTTCGTAAAATGCTCAAGGCCATGGGTTTAATCGTAAGGCACGGCTTTTAGAAAATACATACTCAGTCGCCGGTGATTCCTGCACAAATGGGTAGTAAGTGGCTGCACAGCCAGGGAAGACACGCGCTTCTGAGGACTCTGACCACGCCACATTGAGCCCAGCAAACTTAGGGACAAATGGTTTGACATCAGCTGACAACTTGATGCTATCCTGAGGAAGAAAGGGTGGGTTGGGCTATAACACGCTGAGATTTGCCATATGCAGAAAAACAAAAATCCAAAGAAAGCTGCTCTATTCTTCTAACAGGTCCAACACTAAAAGGTGCACAGCAAAGACAGAGATTCCTTTAGCATCAATATCTCCTTAATGATATATTAGGAAAAGACATCTACTGGATTTTAAAAGTGAAATTCTGACCCTGAATTAAAGATGAAGCAAATCCAACATTGTTATGTAATAAGAACCATAACTTAGGACAATTCTGAGGATTTAAACTGGAGACCGTTATTTTTACCTTTCTCATCTTTATGCATGAGAGACATAAGAATCCTGGACCTACTGTAGCCAAATACACCCAGGGAATGATCAAAACTCTAGTTTATAAAACACACTGCTCAAATTTATTTCCACTGAATATTTCAACAAAAAGCACCAAATATTTGATTTGTACTTAGTAAACCACATAGAACCTTTGCGAAAAAAAAAATCATCTCACGGCCACGAGTCCCTGGAATTCAAAATTGAGCTTTGTCTTCCAGTTACTACGCAGTTATTCTGACAACTTCATCACCGTGTTTGGCCGATTTAGAGTGGGTTTCTGAGCGCGCCGGTGCGCCATCTAGCGGTCATGCAGGGTGCGGACGCGGGTCTGCGGAGCCGCGGGCCGTAGGCGGCCTCTGTGGCATCACTCTGCGGGTCGAGCCGTGGGAGGGCCAAGCCGCCCTGCTCCAGACCTCAGCCCTGGCGGCCCCGCGCGTGTACTTGTTGCCGCAGCCAGCCCCTTACCTCGCCTTCGGGCTCCCGCGGCCGCTCCGACGCCATGGGGGCCACGGAAGAGCCCGCGCCGTGAAGCGAGCGGCGGGGCCAACCAACGACTCGACGTTTCCGCCTACCGGCGCTGCAGCGACAGGATGTACGTCACCGAAAGGCGACGGAAGCCTTTTTATGGCGGAAGTGCTTGGCGTCCGGATGTGCGGGCAGCACGTGGGAACAGACCCAGGGCCCCTGCTTTTGGAGGTGGTTTCTGGCAGCCTCTAAGGTGCGGCTGAGCTCTGCTTATGTGGGCTGTTGGCCTGGCTCTCTGAATGCTCTAGCTAGACCCTCACCGCGGTGATTCAGGCTCATGGAGGGAGGCCAGGAACATTGACAGTGTGGACTTTATAGGGCAAGATAGGGTGTCAAAGTGTGGTGGTGGAGCACGCCTTTAATCCCAGCCCTGGGAGGCAGAGGCAGGCTGTTTGAAGCCAACATGGTCTAAGAAGCGAGTTCCAAGATAGCCAGAGCTGTTGTCCCACAGGGTTACCGTACAGCACACAGCAAAGGCTGTGTGGCTCAGTGAATGTGAATTCACCCTTGTTAATATAACCAGTCTTAATGTTACTGGTCATTCATTTATACATTTCTCATGGCAACACACTAATGTGTCTGTACTTAGTTTCTTGCCTGACATAAAGACAACCCAAACACATACATATGTATGGTGTTTCAGTGCTTCTTAAGTTTTCTCTGACAGGCAGTGGTGGTGCACGCCTTTAATCCCAGTGATCTCGGTTCAAGGCCAGCCTGGTCTACTAGTAGTTCCAGGACAGGCTCCAAAGCTACAGAGAAACCCTGTCTCGGAAAACCAAGTTTTCTCTGAAACCACTATTGTTTTGTAGTCATTGTGGACACAACAAAGTAGTATTATAGTATCAAGTAGGGGTTTTCTGTTCACTTGAAGAAAACAGACAATTGTCTGGGAAAAATAGAATACCAATAAAGCTGAAAATTTACTTTGACGCTAGATTAAATATCGCCAGTAATCCCATCATTTGGAGCTTAATATTTCTTTTAAGTAAGTTTATTTCTTCCTGGGGTAAAATCATTGAAAAGTCAAGTCAAATTAATTTCCAACAAGTGGTAAATGCAACATACAAACTTTATTTAACAAAGTAACAGATAAAGTAAAACAGGCGCTACTTATATTAAGAAAAAAACTACAAGAAAATTTATCTTTAACAACTTAAAATAACCTACTTGCAGTTGCATTTAACTGAGCTCTGTTGCTGTGAAGAATACAGCTCATGCGCAGGTATGGATGAGAGATTTGTACATTTTCAAGTATTCACTGAATACTACCCTTATATACACATATACATTTAATTTCAAAAAGATTAGGTGATCCCAGCTGTACTTCATTTTTGTTGTTCTTTTGGAAGAGGTCGTCTAAAGAGAAGAATATGCGGTTCTGTGGAAAGGAAATATTTATCATTAAGTTGCAAGCCAACAACCAGTCACTATTTAAGATGAATTATATTATTAATAAACACAGACAAACTATCTTATACTAGCATTGCTCCACTATTTTAATCTTTAGCCCACTCCGGGGAAAATGGTTTCTACCTGTAAAATGGCATTTCCAGCGAAAAGAGAAATGTTATCTCTGTGGGAAAAGGACATCTCATTCAAACTGACTACTGGATCTCCTGCTAATGTAATTCAAGTACAAAGATCTAATCTCATCACACAAAACAAACCACCAGAAAGCAAGTGTGGTCAGGCTACAGTGGTAGTGCAAGCCCTTAATCCCAGCACTTGGGAGGCAGAGAGGCTGGCCTGGTCTACAAGAGCTAGTTAGTTCCAGGTCAGGCCCCAAAACTACAGAGAGACCCTATCTTGAAAAATAAAACAAAAACCCAAAAACAACAAAATCAAGGTGTGGTGGTATATACCCACAATCCCTGCATTTAGCTTAGAAAGGCTGGAGAGTTCCAGTCCAAGCTTAAATTTATGTAGGAAACTGTAATCTCTAAAGATAATTAAACCAGGAGAGCCCATACACTTCCCATTTCAGTATGAGGAAGGTCAGGAATCTATAGTTAAGTTCTTCTACTGCTTTTGCAATGGAGAATTCATATATATTTAAACGTGCCATAATCCTTAGAGAGTCTTAACACGGACTCAAGAGTTTAACAAAACTATTCTTCTTTACGACATAAGATAGCTTTAGTTTTATTGGTTTTAGTAATGTCTTCAAATCTTGTTCCCAGCATTAGTTCTTAATTGATATTTCCAAACTAGAACTTGACACCACAAAGCTTCAGTCTAGTTTACTACTTAATGCCTAGAAAACTTGTAGTTAATACCATATACTGGAATAAGATCCTTTTATGTACGATACAGGGAGAATGTGTTTATATGCCTATCTTATTTAAATTTAATATTGTAGATAATTTCCATAAAAGGGCTACAAATCCCATGTAATTGCATCAATTTCTGTATGTGCGCAGAAGTTAAACACTTGCTTTATGCTGAATAAGTCACTTTTACAGGTAGATAAAACAGCATTAACCAGGGAATAAGGAAGCAGTCATTCATAAAAATAGTTGTGCTTCTCAGTTACTTTTGGCTAACGGAGAATGTTTGAGTTTTTAAAGGTGACCCTCGACAACTAGTTGTCTTTAGCTGGTACTTTAGAGCAAAGCTTACCTGGCTCATGGATCATGTAATGCACCCAACCAAGACTCTGTTGGACACCAAGTCTCCTCCACTCCTCTTCAGACATCAGGTGAGTTTTTGGTACTTGTTTGGAGAGTTCTCTAGGTAACATGACATGCCTGTTAAAAACAATTCAGCCAAAGATTAGTGCCATGTTTCCTTCCATTATTACTTTATACCTTTTGAGATACTTAAAATTTAGCGTTTGTTCTCAAAACAAACTCATTTCTCTAAAGCAACTCTAGATCTTTGCTATCAATCTCTGGTATTCTCTACAATCCGTACTTCTGGCTTTTGAGGGATTATAGTAAGGCTAATAGTAAGTAATAAATGAAAGGCATTTTATTCTTTAGGGCTAACAGCGGATTTGCTATTGAGTCATCTTCCAGGAATAGATTCACTCTCTCCTACAGCTTCTTTTGGTCATGAAACAATTCTTGGTCTAAAAAATATAGGCAGACAATATTCAAGTACTGAAAAGTATACTCAAAGAGAAAGATCATACCAATGTAAAGAATATACCCACTCTCCTGTTTGATATAGACTGATGGTAAAGACAGAGGCAATTATAAAAGTGAGTTGCACAGGAATGAGTGAGGAAGGAGCCTAGGACCTGGATTATTTGCCACCTCAACCTGGGATTACTAAACTTTTAATAGAGAGAGAAGAATGTACAAACTAAGATTTAGTGAATGTGTTTCTCAATACTAGATCTGTAGTAGATACAAATTCTTGTATATATTTCATAGTTTGTTTTATGCTTCAGAATTAAAAGCAAAAATTCTAACTGCAAATATTCATGACCGTGGAACTTCATATAGACCTTTAGTTTCCCAGTAAATTACTGAAGCATTTCCAGAACATTTGGTAGGCACGTAAGTCTTTAATACCAAACCATTATGAACACATAGCAATTTTTCCTTATGTGGAAAACCCACAATTTTTTCTTGTTACTAGATTTAACATATAATTTAATGAACAATAAGTTAAATCTTAATAAGTAATGTAAAAGTATTATACTTGGAATGATTAAGACTTATCAGTCACCACATGAATTACCAGCTATTTCATGGGGGTGGGGGGTGGGTTTGCATTCTACTATTGAGCAGGTTGGCCTCCAACCCCCCCCCATTGTTTTCCTTAGGCTTCCAAGTACTCCCAATTACAGAACTGGCATACAACATCTAGCCAGTTTGTTTCTTTCTAATGAATTGACCATTAGATTTCCAAATTTCTGAAATGGCCAACAGACCATAGAAAGACATTTCTTTAGGCTCCTGCTTGAAACCACCAGTCCCAGCAAACTGATGGCCTTGATTCAGGGCCAAAACAAATACAACTTTAACAAATACATGTACAAACAAATCTGTACCTTTGCCTGAATAGAGCATTTAATTGTCACAAAGCATCTCTTTCTAAAACCCTAAGTGTTAGCCTCATTTTACCCTTTGGTATAGTAAATTTATACAAAGTTAGCAATTAGCAATTCTTTGACCAATGTTAAGTCTGTGAGATGACGGAGATGCAAGAAGTGCAAATTCAGTTCTGTATTCTTGGACACGAGACAACACAATTCATAACCCTTTCTAAGCACCAAATTGTCCACAACATAGATTTTAGGCTGTGGCTTATTATTTGAATGCAAATAATCCCGAAAACCACTTTGACATAAATGATTACAAAATTATGCTTCTGCACACTCCCCCAAACATTTCCAGGCAACTTTGTAAATATTCTTAAGTCATACCAGTTACCACTCACTCTTGAAATACTGCTTAATATTTGTTGTTATTAGATGCTATAGGTCATAGTAGAAGCAAGCACCTTGTAGCTATTTTTAAAACTTTACAATACTACTTGACCTTATATTTCCATTGGTAGTTTCAAAAGACCAATGTGATGCTTGTCAATTTTGTTTCACAAGCTCTACAGTAATGTACTTCACAACTTCTATGTCATGCACTTCACCAGGGGTCACTGTAATGTAAATTTTTCCCTTTTTTTTTTTTGTTTTTGAAGAGAGCTCTATGTAGCTTTGGAGGCTGTCCTGGAACTCTGTAGACCAGGCTAACCTTGAATACAGATCCACCTGCCTCTGGAATGCTGGGATTAAAGGCGTGTGCTACCACCTGGCGTAACGTAAATTTTTGTAGTGTCAAACAAACCCACATGATGACCACATGTAGGGCAAACTACTTCCAAAACCCAGTTTTTAGTTTGAATACAAAAGGTGTCACATACTACCACTTTATAAGGAGTACCCAGAGAAATCCTCAATTTTCTTTCTGTAAAGACAGACTCCTATGCTGGGCATGGTGGTATACACCTTTACTCTTAGGACTTGGGAGGCACATGTAGCCAGATCTGTCTACACAGGACAACTGGGGCTTTAGACACCATCCTGGGGGGGAGGAGAATAGCTCCCAGATATTAGGGAAGGAGGTGCAGCCTGTTTGCTCTTAGTAATCATCCATGACAAAAACAAGTTTCTACTCGACAGTCCTCTACACCAGCTCCCTAGACTCACACCTCTAATCCCCCCTGCTCTGTAAGAGTGGGGAACTAAGCTCAGCCCAGGTGTGGCGACACACCCACAATCCAGCTACTGGGAAGGGTGAGGCAGATTGGCAAGCTTGAAAAGCCCCTTAATGAGAACCCGTTTCTGAGCTCTCGATCCCATTTCTAATACAGCAGTGGCTAGCAGACTAGCTCATTTATGCGGTAACAAATTACTTCAGACAAGCCTGCAGTTGCTTCCAAACACAACAGACAACTGATTGCCTAAGTTTAAAAACTATCTCGCTCTGGCAATATGCCCTAAAGAAATGTACACAAGTTCATAAATATTTATGCTAAACACTTGGAATTATTTGCAAATTACTAGAAAGACAGTACAATCATTTTCTGCCGATTGTTGGATATCCCCAAGCTGGATTCGGTGTTACTATAACCACCGAACATTATGCCAAATTATATTAATTTTATTTTATAGTTAAAGAAAACCCCACAAGGTTTCCTAGTTAAAAACATTCAAGTTCAAGCATTACTAAATTGTAAAACAGACTAGAGAAAGATTTCCGGCTGTCAAGATTTCTACACTACAGGCGTGAGGAGAATTGGGAGGGGGGGCGGGATCCACTCTCTAAAAAGGTGTCTTATTCCTCAAACAGCATGCAGGAGACTAACCGAAAAGGGCAGCAAACAGAAAACAGGGTCACTGTTTGGCCAGGGGCGACGCAGGCTTTTCCATCTTGGATAGCTAGACCGTGTCCCAGAATGCAACGCTCCAGTCCCAACCCCGGAGCCGGCGGCGGAAAGGCCTTGGAAACCACACCCCAGGGCAGGAACACAATAACGCTAACCGTAGCCATCCTGCTTTCCATAACCCATTTGCTTACAGCACTAACGCAGGCACTACTTCCTAGAGCACCTCAGGATTCAAACCCCAAACTCCCTCAAAAGTCCCGAACCAGGCTAAAGTACACTAACAGTTGAGCATAATTGAAGGGAGGAAAAAAAAACCCCAACACCTTCCCAGGGCAACCTCGAGTTTTCAACTTCACCCTGAAGCTCTTTGATAACGCCCCGAGCGTCACCCCAACAGACCCTAACAAATTCCCAGCGGGGCACCTCCCGGGGCTTCCCCTCCGGGCCCGGCCAGGAGGGCGCCGTGTGCGGTCGTCAGCTCCCGGTTGAGGCGCTGCCGAGACATCCGACTGCCCAGCTCCTGCGAACCCCGAAGAACGCGACACAAAGCGCGGCTTGCCCGGACGGACGGAGGCCTCTACGGGAGCCCAAGTCCCGACCACCGGGTCTGACCTCCCGGCCGGCCCTCCTCCGCAGGCGCTGCTCACCGGTACTCGTAGTGCTCGTCGAAGTACTTGTCAGAATAGTAGATCTGCTTGTGGGCCATCCTGCCGGCGCGCGGAGAGGAGAAAGGGAGCAGGAAACGGGGCGCAAGGAACTCCACGTCCGCCTACAGCCGGCGCAACGACTCGAATGAGGCCAACGACCGCAGGCCCAACGCTCTAGATTTGAATCCGACAGCCCGCCGCCGATTGGACGGAGTCACCGACCAATCACGCTCCACGCAGGCCGCGAGGACACGCAGCCAATCAGAGACCGTCTCGGGGCTTACGGGGGCGGGAGTAAGGATTTCACGGCGCTGTGGTGACGAGCCCGGGCGAGCTCTAGAGGTACGAAAGAAGGGCGGAGCCGAGTCGTTAGGGCCCGCACGGCGCGTGCGCAGTGGTTTAGACCAGGCCGTTGGGCGGGAGACGTGGGGTAGGCGGTGAGGCTCCGCGGGTTTGGGGGATCGAGACGGGGCAGGAGCACCACCCGCGCGGCAGCCGGGGACTGCGGCTCCTGGGGTCGCCGGGCCGGGAGGGAGGTGTCGCCGAAGAGGCCACCCTGCTCGCCCTGCCTCGCGCGCGGAAGTGAACGGGCACGCTCGCCCCCGCCTCGGCCGCTGCCCCAAGCAGGGAGAGCCCAGGTGTAGAGGGTTCTGGGCGCAAGGCGCCCTCCGCCGCTCTTAACGACGCTAATTACTGGCCGGTGCTAGCTAGTCCCAGTTTGAAAAGATGTGCTCGTGTAAAAGAAAGTAACCGGGAGAAAACGAGCCAAGGTGTACGGAGAGATTTATTTGACGAAACAGGTTAACGAATAAACCATTTTCTGCAACGAGCACGTGTCGATTTTTCTGTTCAGTTTTATGCGAATTGTTGCAGCACCCTGCGGGGGCTGCGGGTGAACAATCCTGTCCTTGGCAGCTGGGCGTGGTGGTCCAATCCTTTAATCCCTGCTATCTCCAAGGCCAACCCACAACCCTACGTCTTTAACCGGTTCTAGGGCTACAAAGTGCAACCCTGTCAAAAAAAAAAAAAAAAAAAAAAAAACCCGGAAGTCAATCTAGCATAAGTAGCCTTGTGATTGCAAATTGATTACGGTGTTGAACGATGTTCAGGTGCCTTCACAGCCGTTGTAACTCAGTTTTCCTTACTTCACTTGGCCCCCACTTAAAAACACAAGGGCTTCTGACTTCTTACACTACTTAGAAGTTACTGTTGGGCCAGGTGGTGGCGCACGCCTTTAGTCCCAACACTCCGGAGATTGAGGCAGGAGGATCTCTGTGAGTTCAAAGCCAAAACCAACAAATAAAGTTACTGTTGGCACTATAATAATAAAGGTGCTAATTGCTTCCCTACGTTATCACGTGGAATGACAGGCGGGATTCAAATTTCAACACCGGGGCCGGTCGGTGGAGGCGCACGCCTTTAATGTTTTTAATCCCCAGCACTCGGGAGGCAGAGGCTGGCGGGTCTCTGTGAGTTCGAGGCCAGCCTGGTCTACAAGAGCTAGTTTCCGGATAGACTCCAAAGCTACAGAGAAAACCCCAATAAGTAAATAAATTTAAAACAGAAAAGAACCGGGCGGTGGTGGCGCACGCCTTTAATCCCAGCACTCGGGAGGCAGAGGCAGGCAGATCTCTGTGAGTTCGAGACCAGCCTGGTCTACAGAGCTAGTTCCAGGACAGGCTCCAAAGCTACAGAGAAACCCTGTCTGGGGGGGGGGGGGACAGAAAAGAAAAAGATGAGGAGGATGTAAACATACACGCTGTTGTAAGGCAAATATCCTTGAGGTCTGAGTGTCTTATTCTGAGAGGTCTTGATTACTATCTAAAGGTCCTAATTACTATCTGGAAGTAACCTGCTTTCCCAACTAGTCTCTATTGACTGAATCCTTTAGGTGTCCTGCCCAGCACGTACTGCACATTTGCCTACTTGTTTCCCTGTCTGCACCATTTCCTCTCCATGCAACGAAAGAAGATAGCATATTTATTGTATTCATTACCCATGTCTAGAGCATAACAGACATAACATAACATAGAGCCTAACATAAAACCTTATGCATGGTGAATATGCAATAATGAACTATTAAAAAATAAAGTCAGGCGGCAGAGGCAGATGGATCTCTTTGAGTTTGAGACCAGCCTGGTCTACAAAGTGAGTTCCAGGACAGTCAGGACTGTTAGACAGAGAAACCCTGTCTCAAAAAAGAGAGAGGAAAAAAAAAGAATACACTTTAAATAAACCGTCAGCATAGGAATATATTTCTAAGTAGGCATAATAATGTACCCTGATGATAAAGATGCGGACAAACTATTCAAGGCAATAAAGTCAATAGAATCTGCGAAAGAGAAGCTTTATAAGGGATGTATGTCGAAGAAAAGTAGCCAGGCATGATAAGGGATGTATGTCGAAGGAAAGTAGCCAGGCATGGTGGCTCACCCTGTATTCCAGAGCTCAAGAGACTGAGGAAAGCCATTGTTGAGAGTTCAAGTCTGCCTGGGTCACATAGTACAAGTCAGCCATGATTACTTAATGAGATTGTGTTCTCAAGAAACAAATGAGGTATTTTTCAAATACAGAGTAGTGCGAGCCGCTTCTCTATACCATTGACTCAGGTTTAGCAATTAATATTTTACTAATGTTTCATCTGTCCCCTCCCTCCTAGTCCCCACTCTCTCCCCCTCCCCCACCCCTTTTGGAACAGAGTTTAACTATGTAGTCTAGGTTGGCTTTGAACTCATGTTTTTTCCTGACCAGTTCTGGAATTAAAGTCAAGTACCACTGTGCCCCGCTTCAGGAAACACACACACAGACACATCATTATCACTTAAGAGATTTGGAATGTTTAAGTACTATATGCTAAAAATCAGGGACAGCAAATATATTTTAACAATATCACCATGCAACTTACCACATAAATACTATAAAAACAAAAAGGAAATATCTTAATAGGTGCAAAAAATAATAAAATTCATATACTTATAATTCTTTTCTTTTCTTTTTTTTTTCTTTTTTTTCTTTTGGTTTTTTGAGACAGGGTTTCTCTGTGGTTTTGGAGCCTGTCCTGGAACTAGCTCTTGTAGACCAGGCTGGTCTCGAACTCACAGAGATCCGCCTGCCTCTGCCTCCCGAGTGCTGGGATTAAAGGTATGCGCCACCACCACCCAGCAATATACTTATAATTCGAACAGTAAATCTGCAAGGCACTGATTAATACTATTCAGAAATTTGAAGAAGGGAGAAAGCTGCCAAGATTATTCGTAAAAATATTAACATAGTTCTTATGGAGAAACATTAGAAGTATTTCCTTACATTTTTTTATTAGCATTGTTAGCAGCAGGAAGTACAGCTGGACACTGTAGACAGCGTATTCTCAGTTCCTTTCAGAGCAATGGGGAGTGAGGGAGTGGGGGGCCTCTTTCTGTGTCCTTGAGATCCACCACAGTGACAAATTTCAGGATGAGAACACGCACCTGAGGAGAGTCACATGTGGGTGTTGCTGCCTTTACTCAGCAGAGTGGTCTAAAATAACACTCGACTTCCAAGGCCAGTCCTTAGAGGTATTGCCAGCCTCTATCTTTTTCCTCGTGGAGGGCTTTCATCAGGAAGGCACACAGGGAACTAGTTTGACTGCCTTTGATTGGTACACAGCACAAACCAAGAGAGATGAAGCAGTGGCCCAATCCTGTGAGAGCCTGAGTTCAAATCTCCACCCAGGTAAAAGCCAGGTGTGGCCGCGCACAGCTGTGGCCCAGCACTGTAGGAGGAAGGGAGGAGTGGAGGAGACAGGAGGATTGCTGAGGCTTGCTTGCCTCCAGTCTAGTACCAGGTTCATAGAAAGACCTTGTCTCAAAGGAATAAGGTCAAGAATAATTGAGCAATACACTCAGCATTCTCCTTTAGTCCCTCAAACACACATACACACGCATGTACACACACACATTTTTAAGACTGGAAAGACGGTCCCCTGGGTTAAGTTCTGTGCCCCTAAGCCCCACAACCTGAGTTCAGACCAAAGAACCCAAACGGTGAAAGGAGGTGACCAACTCCACAAAGGTGTTCTCTGCCCTTCCCTTAGGCCACAGCATATAGCCCCTCCCCATAGACAAATGCAAATAAATAAAAACCTTTAAAGCTCTGTGTGCGCCGTTACAGAGTTCTCTGACCTTCAGATCATCAGTGTGACAGCTGACTTGGTCCGTGGAGTTGAGTGCTGTTGTTTAGTTTGTGGGTTGTTAGTTACACAAAATGATGGCTTTGTCATCTTTTCCTACCTGTGCCTCGCGCCTGCTGCTTGGCTTGCATTCACATCGCCTATGCTTGTGAGACCCAGCCTCCTTAGCAAGACACAATTTTAAGATACATGGTAGGTTTAACTTGGATAAATTCATACCATTTAACTTCAAACGGACTTAGGTTTGCTTTTTTGTACTTCCCTCTTCTCTAACTCTGGCATAACTCTACGCTGGCCTCATAAAATGAATTACACTGTTTTTCCTCCTTTTTTAGTATTTAGACCAACTTGCTTAGAATATGATTTACTTTAGTTTTATGTTAATATGTAGTTCATTTTTTTAAAAATTTTTTTGAGACAGGATCTGTCTATATAGCCATTGCCTTCCTGGAACTTTGTGAATGAATCTCCTAAGTGTTTGAATTAAAGGTGTGCACCGCCACACCCAGCTACATTGAGAGTCTCATCCCTATGAGAAAAAGCCAAAATAATAAACGCCAGCCAAATGGGGGCATGGCTTGCCAGGGTTATATACACAGATGCTAGTAATATAAATTAGTGAGTCTCTGTGGAAATCAATATGGTAGTTCCTCAAAAAACTAAAATTAGAACTGGTCTATGATGCAGCTGAATCCTGCTGGCTAGACACCTGATGGACTAATTTAGCACATGGCAGAAGCACCTCACATTCTGTGGCACCATTCACAATATCCTAG